TTCTTTAAAAAGTAGCTGTTTAAAATAGTAAAGAGAAATGGATAAAAAAGTTGCTACGATAAATATAACATTATAAATTAAGGCCATGTGAGAGTATAAATACTCTCTGTAGAAAAATAAAATAAGTAAGTAAAATAAAAACAAAATTTTTAAAAAATTCTGAAAGGATTCAGGTTTTTGACGTCGCATCAGAGGGTTCGTTAAGGTCTTTTAAGCTTTAGGCAATTTGCTCAGAAGGACTATTAATTTCGTTTTAGCGTTTTGCGTCGATTCACGATAAGCGTTGTTTCACTTTTCAAATTGTTGACACCTAATATTAGCGTCCTGTATTATATTTAAAAAAATTAAATACTGAAGAATCTGCATGAATGTATGTATGTTTCTCGCATTGTGGTAAAACAACGGTACCTAGAGCCATCAAAATTTGAATAATGTAATCTTCCATAGAATATGGGCATGTGGAAGCCCAAATTTGAAATTTGGAATTTATTTTATTATCGATTTCATATTTTGTAACACTTCAACGAATTTTTGATTAAAAAATTAAACGATTTCAAAGCGAGCAATGGCAACACTGTTTTTATGGGTGGAAAATTTTTATGTCCAACGCGCGAGGTTCTGTATCGGAAATTCTAGAGATATGCTCATTTTTAAAATTATTTTGCGATATTGCTGTTGAACTGAATTTTATGGTTTGAGTGCGAAGAACACGATATTTAATAAATAAAGGTAACACACAAAACGTTAAAAAAACGCCCCTTTGGATGTAATATAAAATCTGAAACCTTTCAGATTATTTTCCCAGGTTAATTTTTTTATTTATTTTTTTTAAATTTATATATTATTTATTTATTTATTGTACTTTATTATTAACTACAGCTTTCTTCGCACTTAAGCCAAAAACTCAGCAGTAAAATCACAAGCATTTTAAAAAAGGCATTTTTTTAAATCCGATGTAAGGATGTTTTTTTTTACAAATTTCACAACACAGAGTTCTAAAGTAAGTCTCTTGCTTTCAAACACCAAAAACCGTTTGATAAAATGTAATTAAACACGTTAACGCGAACTGTTTGCGCAGCCGATATTTGCGGTGGTGTGAACTTTCGTTAAAACTCTATATTTAAAAACAGCACGAGTGTTAAATTGCACCATGTATATTTTTATATCCGTTACACAATCTCTTTACCTCGTTTGCTAATAAATGGATAAAGAAACTTGCAGTTTATATGTTAGATCATGATCATAAGATTTTACTTAATTACTATTTGTAAAATGTAGATTATAGTACACGAAAAACTGGAGTTAGTAATTTTGCAGTCACCCTGTTATAGGGTGTTGAAAACTGATTTTATTCGAGATATTCAATGTGGGTTAAAATAACATTTGTTGCAAAATGCTGCGAACTTCAAATAAACGACTTTTTAAATGATAAACGTAACGTAATTATACAGTGTCGAAGATAAATGGAAGATGTTGTTGATCATCGATTGGCAATAACGTGAACTGAAAACAGTAACATCTGACCGAAATGTTAAAAAGGGCCCCCCCCCCAAAAAAAAGGCTATTGAAATGAAGTAAACTGGAAAGGAAGGGGATGATTATTGGAATTTTGCTGGAAAATTGCCAGCTACACGGATCCTGTCTTATCACATAGTTAAATCGAAGTTTTACTGTATACGAAAGTAGTGCTTGTCGAAAGGTTTATATAAAGCGAAAGGGAGTGTTGTAGCTGAATCATCTGTCAGCCTGCCAAAAGTAGGTCTAAAGTGTTTTCAGAGTTCCTATGCAGAGTTTCGTGAGACCTCATGAGGAGGTGTGTTGTAGAGTTTTAAAGCTTCTGTGATGCAGCATATTAATCATCCTTTCCTTCAAGAATACACAGTCGAGTAACAGAAGTTCCAGGCATTTAGCAGTGGCGAAGTGACGATCGATTATCTTTCAGAAGACTATTTTCCCACTTTAGAACAACCGTGCAAAGATATAATTAATCTACCTAAAAGTGCCTAAGGGACTACGAGGATTTATTTTTGTTTAATGTGCCATTCTTAGAAGCAGAAACCATTACCGTAAGTGAAGCCAGCTGAAATTATGAATGATATCGTTATTGTGTAAATGGGATAGACCATGTATGTATTAAAAGAGGTTGTTTTGCTAGATACTGAAAGAATATGGGGTTAATAGTTTTTGAATATTTATAAGAAAACCTTTGATGTATAAGAAACCATGTATGGCCTGTTAAATTAGACACATTTTTTGTTGCTCTTCACCTCAAGTTATTTCCACGAATTGTTATAAATTAATTAACCGATCCCTCAAGGCCAGTTGAAAATGACATCAAAAATTGCAAATTTGGTAATTAAATATCCCGGTCAGTTTTTGTCTTACGGGAATCAAATTTCTTGTAATTTTATTTTTTCATAACGAGTATAAAACTTTCCCAAGAATTAAAAAAAAAAAAAAAAAGAGGAACCCAAAAGAGTTTTCCAAAATAAAAACTGGGAGACCGCATTAAAAGTTAAATTTCGTCATTTGTCCAAAATTAATTTTTGTTTAAATTAGGACATTGCTAAAACAGGAACATTTTCGTCATTTAAAACCCTTATGTAATTGGAAATATATTGCTATTATCCGACGAATGCGAAAATAAAGGCCAGGTAAGGGCGGGTGTATCTGTTTATCTGTCTGTCTATATCTATGTCTATCTATCTGTCTATATCTATGTCTATCTATCTGTCTATCTTTTTATATATATATTTACTCTTATTAAGTATTGCACTAATGAAAACTCTCTATATTTATATTTATTTTTGAAATTAATTATCTATCATCGTGTCGGGGAATTTTTTCATACTTTCCAAATTATTTAAGATTTAAATTCAGGTATTTTATAAAATTGATTAGCAACTTTAAAATTGGAATAGGAATTTAATCCAGAAATGCGAAGAAACGAAACGCGATCCTTACGAACTCGATGAATTGTTGATGATTGTATAGAGGGATACCAATTTCCCTTGAAAAACCGGAAGCATTCTGTGGAATCAATATCAGTTTTATTGTTTTAAGTATTTACTTTTTATTAATTTAGCGTTTTAAAATTAACAATTCCAATTTAATTAATCACAAATTCCAATTTTTCTTTGCTACACTGGTACACATTTATTATCTAAATCTTACTTGATATTTCCCAGGAGATTATTTTTCATTTACATACAGCTATAGATATTGCAATAAAAAAGGAGGTGCACAACTAGGTCTTATTAGCAGTCCCATATACCAAATTTCAACGCTCTGTGGCTAATCGTTTTTCACTTACGAGAGATACATACGTAACGAAAAATATCCCTTTTGAATCCATTTCATAAACCATTTTGGAATAAAGAGTCCTTTAATTCTGTCCGTGCGTGCTGAAGGCACTCAAATAGTTAAATCGGATTCAGGAACGTCAAAATGGATATTTCGGTTGAAATCTGGTAAAGGAAATGTTTCGCGATTACAATACTTCCTTTAGTTCGTACAAAGAAGTGAAAACGGCAATGAGTTAGCTTTTCAGATTTCCACATATAAATAGATATCTTATTTTCTTGACATATCTACGAATATATTGCATAGCATTATTTCTAGGTGTTTTGTTACATTGTACACTATGTTCACAAAAATCCTTACTGTGCCTTTGTTTTCGCAGTATTAAAGATTTTAAAAGTAAATGCCAATAAAACAAAATAGAGGGATGCGTTCCGAAAATTCTTTAATAACAAAATAGTTTTTTAAATAGTTCTCACTGTTTCCTCATTTAAATTTACAGTTTTTTTGCGAGGTCGGATGCCTTTAACAAGGGATTTAGCATCTGTACTTTCATCTCGAAAAAACTTTCAAACATAGTTTGGAACTGAAATATAATTTTGCTTTAATTATTCCTAAAAATAAAAACTAATTAGTAACACATATCCAAAAGTTTTCGAAAAAATATTCTTCCAAAAATCACAATTATGCAATTTACGCAATCTACCAACTGAACATTTGGAGTACATGGTTCCATGGTACTACATACTATGAAAATGATGGGAACGACTCGATTTCAAAGAATTTCGATATGAGAGAACGCGGGTATTCCCGAAATTTATTTTATTTCTGTGTGTATAAATGAGTAGGTTTTTATTGCGTGCTATACACAATGACATAATACATACTTTAATTCTATAAATGTTTGGAATAAAAATCGTGTTATCGAAATATGTACCTATATAAAGTGTTACAAGAGGATTTACGCATATTCTTAAATGTGGTAGAATAAAGCCGTATTGTCCATATATACGAGAGTTTCAGCAATTTTCTGAATGTATAAGAGCGAAACTATGTTATAAAAGGCATAACTGTAATTGATTTGTAATACATACAACTAATAGTTTTATGTACATCTGCAATATTATGTTCAATAAAAGTTATTTTTGATATCATACATTACACTAAGTTTTTGCATTTACTCATATTAAATCTTACATTTTGCCTTCTCTCTCTCTTAAGTTACTTTAAACTTCAGCCCCCTTCAGTTACATTAAATCTTTTCATTTACTTAAATAGAATCTTAACATTTTGCTTTCTCATCCTGCTTCAGTTGCGTCAAACTTTCAATCCCTTCAGTTACATTAAATCTTCTCGTTTACTTATATGGAATTTTTACATTTTGCTTTATCCTTCCCCTTATTTGCGTTTAAACTTCTACCTCCTTCAGTTATATTAAATCTTTGCCATGTGTAATGTGCTTTCAGTTACGTGGAAGAATTCTCTTCTCGCTTCAGTTAAGTTAAACTTTCCTTCTGATTTTTTCGCAAAGCGGAGAAAAGTGACAAGTGTAGTTCCTTTGTAAAAACGAAAGGATGTAATGTAAATTTTCGTAAAGCAAATATTACGTTAGGAATATTCTATATGGGGGGAAAGTCTGTAAAAACACAAGGTTTTTATTATAATCTTCTGTGAATGCGATTTTTTAGTACCGTAGCAGCTTATTTTAACAATTTATTTATTTATTTCAAAACATCTTCTTCCACAAAAAAACACACAGATTTTCACTTGCATTCATCATAATTCCCACTGCACCGAAAAACAATTGACAAATACATTTGGAAACAACGAACATAATAATCTTTTTCCAGAACTTTGACACTTTCATACATATCTATGTATTTTATATATATAATGCATATCATTTACACTCGAAAAGATGCGATATTAAAGTGACTGTAAATACAGTATTATGTTGACCAAAACAAACCACAAGGGTGCATTTTCTTTATAAATAAATATTTTCAGAAACACATTAAGGCAATAGTTCCATTATCTGTCAACCGTCATTGTTGCACAAAATGATGAATATCGTCTGCAAAGAAAAAGAATACGTAATTTTAGATAAAGACATAGCGAATAATTCATACTTCGGATGTAAAAATAGTTTAGTATTCGTGGTGTTAAATGACGCAGTAAATAATAATCGGCGTTTTCCCGTGTTTCTTCCCCCCCATTTAATGGTTAGTTTCAAAGTAGTTAGGCTGACTATACACTGGAATTGTATTGAATTTTTTAGCTGGGCAAGGTTTCTGAATAAAATGCCATTTTGTGAAAGCTTTTAGAGGTAATATGTCTGAATAACACTAAATAAAGCGAAGAATAATAGAAGGTTTATTTTGGGGGACTGCAAATTTTTTTTTATTGTTGTTCCCATTGTCTTTATCTTCCTGCCTTTGTTCTATTCTGAATCGGAAACGAATCTAGTTTAAGCATGAGATATTTGCTTTTTTAAGGAAAGTTACATTTAAGGCTGATTAAAAGATAGCATGGAATCTCAATTATCCGAATTAATGAAAACCGAGTAGATTCCGATAATCAAAGCTTTCAAGCAGTGTCTATCTGAAATGCTCATTGTAGCAATAGTGGTTTTATTTTTATTATGTCAGAATAACCAAGAACAGAATTAAACCACCAATCACATTTTTAATCATATCAGAAAACATAATATACAGGTGCTTCAAAGAAGATGGAATAAACTTTGGTAGAGGTAAAAAAAGATGGTAGGTCACTTCCGAAGTTTTGTTTATAAGATGCACGTTCAAAAAGAAAGTGCAAATTAGGTAAAGAGCATTTACTTTCCAACAAGCGTCAATTTTACGAGTTGTAAATGCTCTGAAGGACTCAAAATCTGAGAACATCTGAAATATTACTCCTCGGAATAATCTCTCTAAATCATCACTGCCATTGGGACAAAGGTATCCCTTCTGCTATCATCTCCTGTTTTTCGGAATATTCTCTTCATGAACTTCAAAGTTATGGCTTTTTCGACAAATTTTTATTGAGAGATCTACGGCCCAGTCTAGCCGTAGGGTTGCATCCCTTTTGTATATCCGTATCCTACTTCTAAGATAATGGAACCGATACGACTGGAGAAAAGGTGGTATGCTGTTCCAAAAACGACTTTGGAAAAAAGTACTGAAGTACCGTAAAACTTTCTTGTAGGCGATTTTGCCAGAATTATTGAAGAATATTTCAGCAGCCATTCTGCGGCGTATGTATTTAGGTAGGATGGAACGCAAACTTATTTTCATCAAGTCACAAAGATTTATATGGGTCACATTTTTTCTGGCTTGGCCGTTCAATTGAACGTAGTTGTCCTATAACTAAATTACCAAGATCACCCAGTCTTTCATGTCTCGATTTCTTTTTGTAAGGACATAGTTTAAATAGCTCTACCGTAAAAAAAATTTTATGTCTGTTTACGAACAGAAATTGGATTGAGTGAAGAAGGCCACTGAAATATATTTATTCATACAAATTCCAGACATTTGCCACTAAGCCATTACTCTTGATCTTGCTTCCCAATACTTAATCTAATCAAAAGATAATAGTACAGTGCATTCGTCAATACGCTTCTTATTCGTAGACTGTCGAGAGTTACAAAGAGTATGACATTTCTTAACTCCTGAAAAGTCCTTAAGTCGAACTTTAAAAAGACAGGCTTTCAGGCAATCGTGCCCAGTCAAAAGACGAAATAACGCCACGACTACAAGATGAAGAAAATCTGGAATAAATGGTTTTGAACTAGTGAGACACTCCTAGGCCTTTCCCTTAGCTCCATTTGATAGGTAGCAGACAAATCTCCTCTTAAATTCTAATTTAAATCGAAGTTTTGCAGAATTAAAAGTCATATGGTTATTAGTGGTTTGTAGAACAGTCGTTCTTTTCTTTGACAGAAACTGAAATATATAAATCACACTAACTATGTCATAGTCCTTTCTGTGAATTAATCAAATAGCAGTATATGCGATGCATCATATTTCAGGTAGGAAAAAGTATATTTCGTTGCTTGTTTTGTAGAAAAAAGATGATCATTGAAGCAGCTAAAGCACATTTTGTAAATGCGAAATATTTGTAATATCATATTTCAGGTACAATCAATAAATAGACCCATGGCAAAAATAAAAATGTTGCTTAGGTACTCCAAAAAAAAGGGGGGGGGAGACAAAAAGGATTGTAGGAGCACTCAAGACTAGTCTTTCTTATGCTAAAAGTGTTACGAAAGTAGATGGTATGATGAATAAATCATGAAGTCTGTAGAAGTACAAACATTTTTTTACGTAATAAGGAAGCGTTTTTATTGACAAAGCAGGTGAAAATAGAATGAAAGTGTCTAAAATCCGTTCAGATGTTAGTCCCAGAAGTGCATCTACTATCCTTCTCAGATCAGTTGTTTTTGTTGATCTTTGCGCTGATGTCGATTCAGATTTGGCTTTTTTCTCGAATTACTTTTTTAATCCAGTGTCAGATAGCTTTTGCCGTTCTTAAATTTGTAGAGCATCATTCACTCTTAGACCTTCTCTGAGGACCACAGATGAAACTGTTCCGTTTTTGAGATATAGGCCTTTTATCCTTAGAGCATATTTAACACATTTCTCGATTTCTTGTGTTTTCCTCAGCGACTTTGATTTTTATAAAGTAAAGAATATTTTCTATCTTTCTTCCCTTGTACTTTTAGCATAGGAAACAACTTCACATTGTGTACAGATTTTGATAGCTTCCATACTTGTACCATAGCACTCTCAAAATAGAACTGAACTACTCCATTGCACCATGAATCAATTTAAGAAGGACAAAAAAGATATATGCGCATATATATATATGGGATGAAATAATTTTGAAGAATTTATCATTAATTTTTTTGCAGGGAACTTGGACAACTTGGTTACGAAAGGCACCGATTCACGTTTTAGTCATAGTCGAGAAATCCGCTGCGTAGTTGGCTGGATATTGCGGTGTAGTGAGTGACCGGATGGAATTTTGGAAGAAGCATGACCAGTCTGAAAGTTAAACATAATTTATTTTTGGATGACGAATTTTTTAACCACATATTTTTTTCATTGGTAGAAAAAGAGGGGTACTAGCTCTTCTCACAATTTTAGATATATAATTACATTCCAAATGGCGGAGAATAGCTAGCAAAGGTTAAGCGACATACTGCGAGCAATAATAATTAATTTGTTAATAAATATCTCATATTTTTATATCTTACTTTTTTTTGTAATAATTATTATAGGCGGCTAGTGAAGTAAAAGGAGACCTCTGTACGTTTATGTGCAGCTCGCATTCTTAATGATGCTTAGCAGACGAGAAGTAATGTTCCTTACTACTTTCTTTTTTACTGTTCTCGATATTATATCATTTTACATTTTTGATTATAAGAAGTTAAAGATTTTCCTCTAAAAGAGGAATGAATCCTAAATTTCCTCGAATCTGAATCCGAATTCTAAATGATTCTCGAAACTCTGGAATATTTTAAATATCAAACTTCTCGAATCCTTCATGTATAATAGTAGTAATAGTAAAAATAAAGTTTTACTTAAGATTAGTTTAAAATTTTTTAATAAAATTAAAATATGAAATCTGCATTTCATGAAAAATTAATTTAAGATTCCTTCTTTTAAAAATACACCTACACTTGTTAAGAAGATACAAACGAGAAACGCGATAAATGAAAGACTTAATTAAAATGATCGAAATTTGAAATTTATTCCATTTAAATAATTTAACAAAAATTATTTGAATAACAGTTTTTTTTTTTTTTTTAATATTTTTCCAGAATCCTTTTAAAGCAAATGTAGAGAGAGAAGGGTTACATCAAGAGTTAAAATATTTACATACTAATCTCAGAATGCCAAAAGTTTCTCAAGAAAATTAAGAGAGCCACCACGATCCAAGTCCCCTTAAGTTCTTCTTTTCTTTTTTAATGAGCGCTTCTTTAGATACAAATAAAACTGATCTTTTCAAAATTTTGAATTTAAACGTTTAATAACTTTTGGGTTAGGATTTAGAAAACTGGGAACGAGATATTTACAATGTTCCAAGCCTCTTTCAAGATTCGTGTGATTCGAGGATAGGAATGGTGTACCTCCTATTTCCTCCCATGTGTTGTAGTGTAACTGATATAACACACGGAGTGATTTATTTGGGAATTTCTTTGTCAGAGTTCAGGTAATATGAAGCTTCCAAAATTGACAATAATAAAAATAATCAGACTTCTTTTCTTTTGTCACCATAAACTGTTTTAACATTTTAGAGGAATTCTTTTTAATTCATTTAGAGAATTCATTTTAGAGTATTCAATTAAAAAAACTATGACCAGAGACTTTTGCCCTCTGATTTTTGGGTCTCACTTGATCCATTATAAAGGCACTTTTAAGTTAATTAACCAGTTTTTATAATTTCAATCTGTACTACAACTTTTCCTTTTCGTTAGCCCTCAGGGTGCAAATGAGTTAAAAGTATTTAAGGGAAGGGGTTGGAATGGTTTAGAGAAACAGAGCTTTTCGGCAGCGACGCTCGCAGCTTTACATTCAGTCACTGAGCTCTACCAGTTTCTAATCCGGTATTAGACATTTACTAGAAGAAATAAAATCACGCTCAATAGCCAAAGTTTGAGCCAACTTTGTTATGCCCCAAATTTGTGTAGTTCTCGGCTATGACAGCTTTTTAAATTGCAAACAAATTTTACATTATGTTAGTGACGCTGACTGATAAGTCCAGGCTTGAATCCCGAAAAGGCATGGGTGTTTCTAAGCATAAAGTGTCTGTGCGGCAAGGGATCATTCAAAATACGCTGACGAAATCCTCTTGCGAGATCAGTCGTAGGAGAAGAGAAGTGGGAGATCCTTTTTCTGGATTTTCTACCTCAAAATTAGAGAGGAACTGCATAGTTATAGCTGTGGGGACTGTATCACCTGTGTAACAACCTGTGGTCAAAATCTGGTGTTCCCACTCAATTACGCCTGTATCTATTACTTTAATACCCAAAAATGACGGAGTTCTGATTCTACTCTCAAGTTGTACCCTTTTGTTAAATTCAAGCTTAAATAACGTAGTTAGTTTAAAACCTTCAAAAGACTTACCGTACATTCCCAGACGGCAGCGGTAACTTGTTTGGCAGTCTAATAGTGTTCGAAGGGCTTTAAGTTTATATTTTACAAATCAAGAATCTATAGTTTGGCTGAAAAGTGATTATCTGAAAATGTAAAGAACATGAGTATTCAAATTGTAATACTAAATGAATTCAAAAAGTATCTTATATTTGCTTAGTCAGCATTTAAAATTAATAATTAAGAACAACAAAAAACAAAAAAAAAAAAAAAAAAAAAAAAAAAAAAAAAATAGCACTAACAAGAGTTTATGTAGTTTTTTCCAATAATGAATGCACTAAAAATGTTACGTTTAAACAGGAAGCCAAATCTATGTTTCCTTATACTGCAGCTCATTAAAATTATCTGTCCTAGAAATATAAGACTAGCTTTATTTAATCAGGATATCCTTTGGAAAGAAGAGGAAACCTTCTAAAAATAGAAGCTAATAAAGCAGCCAAATTAACAAATACGCAGGGAAAAAAACTCTGTGAAAGGAAGGCATTGACTTTTATTAGTGTTATACCAAAAATATAAAGACAACTCTGACATACCATTACTTTAAAATCAACCAAAATCCAACCTTAATTTTGTGTATTGTTTTCAAATTCATAATCCGAGATGGGAAGAATCCTACGTTCGATTATCTTTGGAAATTCACTGAGAATGTTCATTCAAATCAGCACAATATGTAAGGCTGAATTTTACTTGCCTTTTCAATTCTTTGAAGTTGGCAGTCTTTTTTTAAGGATGTGAAACTTTGTTGCCGCAAATTTCAGCATTAATTTAGAATGCATTCTTTCCTGAAATGGTCTACTTTTTTTAATGTTTGCATTCATTACTAGGAGGTCCTATGGCTGCAAGGGGCAGTTCTTAAAATTGCTGCAACGATATACAATATACAAGCTCTCTTGAAGTATTTACAATATACAAGGGCAAATAGTTTTAAAAAGTGTCAAAATGGCATATAGGAAAATAAATGAAAACTCCACGTGTAGTTTTGAAGAAAAATTTTAATTCCGACGTTTTAAAAGTATATTATTATTTTGCTTGTTTTAGTTTTCGTTATTGCTGTTCGCAAAACCATCGATGACAATTTAGAGGTCTAATTGATTTCTCCAGTTTCATTAGAAAATTCTTGTCACAATTAGTAGCGCTTACATTAATTATGAGAAAATTTCACAGTACTATTAAAATATCTGGAACTTTGTTGTGATAATGGTATTTAAAAAAAAAAAAAAAAAAAAAAACTGCAAAAATTCAAAAAGATGCCCTTCCATGTTCCGGTTTTGTTTGCTTTAATAATAATGGAAATACAACTCCGAGATGCTTTTCTGTTGTAGAGGAATTCTTTTTCATTAATTTCGTTTTGATCATAATTTAAATGATTTTCGTAGTTTACAATCAAAAGTTTTGACGGAATAAAAAAATATACAGTAAACCTTTGTTAACATGAATCTCGAGAGGTCGAAAAATTAAGAGTTTGTGTTAAAAATGTTCGTTTTAACTCGTTTAAAGCTCAAATTTTATTTTTGGAACATTTATTTTCTACAGTTAACCATTTGCAGTATATGTTACGTAAGTACTATAATATATTATGTATGTCATCATAGAAAACGCTACAGTAGTACATTAATGACCGTACTGTAATTTGAGAAAATGCCCTCACAGATCCTTTTTCGGTGAAAAATTCCTGTATGTTGCACTGTTGCAGACGGGAGCAAAAATTCCTGGTGACTTCACAGTCAACTTTACTCACGGCTTCCGTTAAATTTTCGAAAATTTAGGTCAGTTTGGTTGAAGCAGCAAAATGCACTCGTATTTAGAAACCAACCGCAAGTTGGTGAAAAGCTCGTTTGCCGCTTTCCTACCGTTAAACCTTACGAATTTGACCTTAGGGGTCTACCATAACACGGAGTAAAAGTCTCACAACAGAGGATCCCGCATTCCCTAGACGGAGCAGTCTAAGCAAGGCTAGGAGTGAGACAAAGACCGAACTGATAGATACATATTTTAATTGAAAGGGAAAAATGCATCAAGAATTCATTCCTCCAGATCATACAACCTGTCCAGCTTCTATCATGATGGTTTTGAGAGATTTTCATTGCAAAAGACCTCATTTGTGAATAAATGGAAAAAGTGGCTGTGTTAATGGCCACTCAAGCCATGATGCCTTGATAACGGCTTTGGTGAGAAGGTATCTAACAGTGTATTCCTTCATTCTTCAGTTCATTTTATTTAGCATACTGTAACTATTTGGTTTCTTTTTTTTTCCTTTTTTTTTTAATTATGGAGCAAAAGTCCAAATCGAAGATCACCTTTTTAACCTCCAGAAAGATTTTTCAAACCAAAGCGGAAGAATGCTAAACATGTTTCAATGAACTAATCCTAAAGAACATTTCTGTCATGGTACAGTGGCTGAGATCAGTGCAGTAATAAAGAAAGGGACTATTCTGAAACCAAGGGAGATAAGATTAAATTCAAGAAAATTTTAAAATATATTTAATCTTCCCTCTCTTGCCAATCCGCCTGGTATTTGGCACTCTGATGAAAAGTTTCTTTTAAAATAATATAATAATCTTATTCATAATAATATTATAAAGCATAAAAAACATTTGGCATTTTAAATTTCCACTTCTTGACACAGTGTTGATTCTCATTACACATTTTAAAAAATGTTTTGATGTAATTGAGCAGATTGGAAATATCCTGATCTAATAATAATTATTTAAAATCGACAAAATGAAATATTTTGTTATTTTTGCAAACGAGGATATCAAACTGAAAAATAACATATCATAAGTAATGAATTAAAATTTTTAGCAGTCAGCAACCTTATCGTTTAAAAATATGCTTTTAGAAACCTTATAGAGATATTCAAAGTAATCTGGAGATAATTTTTATCATCTTCTTGCAAACGTTTCTCATGAAATCATATATAATAAGATATTTCCCCTCTTATCTTGAAGTTGTGGCTTCAAAGCACAAGCGTTGCAAATACATTTGCAAATGACCCAGTTTACTTGATATACAGTTTATGGTACTCTTAAGATGAGAGTTATACAAATGCCAAGAATATTATCTATTTTTTAAAGCGATAGGAAACATATGCATAAATTATATTTTTTATGGGGAAACATTAACGCCAAGGAAAAATAGCCACATTGCACTAATGTGATATTTATTAAAATATGAGTCGTTGCATTATGGTTGCTTTATAACGTTGCGCGCCTCTAACTAGCACGCAACCAAGAGGTGACTGTGAAAGCTTGTATAAACCACAGAGTCTTATAAAGGGTTTAAGTCCCTTTTTATTCAACGTACTAATTTACAATTGCGTTCTCTTGACGCTTACAAACGGTGCCAACTCGGCAGTCAAAATAAAAATAAAAACCTGAAAAGAAATTAAAGACAATATTCTAACTACGAGGCTCTCTCAAATAACTAACTCACCGCGTTTTACAATACGCTGCTAATTCAGCAGACTTGAAGCTCACTGGAACAATTGCAACTACTTCCCGCCAAGCACATAGGCCGCAACGCGGGGTTTTTCAAATCTCTATAACTACCTCCGCGCTCGCTAAGTAAGAATAACTCTCTCTCACCGAACTTGTTTCCTTCTATTTAAATCATACTACTTCCGCTGATAATTTGAATGCTTGCGCGTTCTACTCAAATTTACATATTCTGGCATTGGCAGTTCCAGGGGAAAGTAAGGCTTGACAGGAAAGATAGTTTAAACTTAAAATAAATGTTAGTTAAAATAAATATAAACCCTACATTTGCCGCTGCCAGAATTTGGAAAACTTGGAAGCAGGTCCTACAAACGACCTGTTGTAAGTTTATCTAATTCTGAACTAACTGGCGAAAAGCCTCGTTTACACAAAAAAATCTTATGTAACAATTAAAATTCTGTTACTCTTTACAAAGGTTTCTTCTTACAGCAACTTTTCCTGGACTTCATCAATCAATCTTGGTCTTTCCTTCCAGCATCTGGAAGGAATAAGTATCAGTATCTTTCTACATACATTATAATTTACACTTTCTTGACACAATAAATTTTTGTTTTTAACGATTCGTTTTTCTTAGTTATTGCTTACTTCACATTCATTCAATTTTTCAAGCATTAATTTAACTTTACCCTGGCTCTCCACCGTGTGTGGTGTCAAACGGGAATATTCGTGTTTTAGTCTTACAACACTTCCCCTAACCACCATGATTTGTTAGAATTCAACAACCAAATAGACACACCTTACTCGACATTCTACAACTCAATGAGCTACTTTAATATTCTTAAAAATTCAAATGTAGGTGGAGAACCCTACAAAACACATTCATTCTAACTTCCCCCTCATTCATCTTTAAACATGCAGGCTTTCGCTCTAAAGCATGACTTTACAGTTTAATACTTAAATTTTGACTTCATTGCTTTTAAGCATTCACTTTTAGCATCTACAATTTTATGCTTCTAGACTAAATTCTACTTTTACATAACATTGCAAGTATTTACATACATTTACAAAAGTTTAATACATATGCTTTTTACAATTTACCATAAAATGAATAAGAGAAAATAAATTTTACTTTACTCATTCTTCGCCAAGCTGGCGGCACTGAAACTAAAATTCTTATTAATACAAGAATACGAAGTTATTTTTATCTTCGGCCAAATTTTGGCTTTAACATAACAGAATTAGTCTTTCGACCAACAGAAAATGCTTGTTTTTAGCTTTTACACTTAAAGAAAATAATACTTTTGCCTTAGCTAAATAAAGTAAAACAAAACTAAGTCTCAACCGAGACATATTGACTTTCGTCAAAACATAGAACTTCGTACTTATGCATAACATTTCGGAACAAACAAAAGAGAAAAATATTATAGAAGGTTTTAACTTATCTTTGAGTTTTCGATGCTTGAAACTCCGTCATCCGTTTTTGACAAAATTGATCCCAAGTTAGAGGTGTCATGGATGTCAATCTTCTCCTTGTTGATCTCCAAGTGTCGTCCCCGTTGATCTTTCTTTTGCGTCCTCTACATGCTGGCCTCTTGACGGAGTAATCGTCTGGTTGTTGGCTTTTGCGTTTTTCTGCCTGGGACGGCTGGTCT